CTAGTATTTTAAAAATCATCTTAACATACAAATTGATATCACAAATAATAACTGGCTAAGTATTTTCATACACGAGGCGATGATAGCGCCCAGCCAGTAAGAGGAAGAGATTTCAGTCTTAATCGCATGAATAATACTTGAAAAATCACACTCAAATGTTGGAAAGTCTCCCTATCACTGACGGGGGAACAATAGTACTTATAACCGTGCGCTGCGCTGCCTGTAGGTAGGAGAGACCATGGATGGGGACCAAGCACGCAGCGGAACGTGTCCAAGTGGCTCGAGGAGGGGGAGACTCTCAGAGGAGAGGGGACTCTAGGTAGGAGTGCGAGACAGCGGGGCTCAAACGGGACTCCCCTTGTCCAACTTCTTGAGGGTGGCTTCAAGCTGTTCCATGTCACTGAGTGACGCGTCGCACTTGTACACCACGAGGCTGTGATAGAAGTGCACCACGAACACGACGAATACGATGAGCACCGGGATGACGATGACGGTGGCGGCGATGGCCGCCGTGAACGAGTAGTCCCAGAACTTGACCCAGCACAGAATGGCCACCTCGACTAGGAACAGGAACAGCCCCAGCACCGTGGAAAAGGCCCACGCCAGCTCCACAAAGCCGCGCATGCGCTCGTGGGGACTCTCGCTCACCAGACCGGACACCTGTGGACAGCAAAGCACGGCGTCACCCCTCAACCCTTCACTTCTTCCACCCCACGCACACGCCCCGTGGTCCCCTGCCCTGCGCTGGGACCGAGGCTGGGACCTCCGTTACCTGTAGCTTGCTGATGGCGTCAATGTTAGGCAACAGGTACGTGCTGATCATGAGCGCGAAGATATGCACAGCGACCAGCACCGTGGTGCACACGGCGAAGAGTACGAAAAGCCACTCGGGAACCTGTGTTGGCTCGTTGATCTGCAGCTCGACCATCGCCACCTGTAGGCGGCACAGGATGAATCGTCATTACCATCACAGTCGATTTAAATTTAAGGAAATATAGAAAACACCGCAAAAACTCACCATAGCGAAACCTGACAGCAGCTCTGAGGTGGTCGCCGTGGCCTTCAGCTTGGCGCGGCTCATGTGCAGCCTGCGCCAGGACAGTCCCTCGGGCGTCATGGGCCTTCCGTCGTCGTAGAGCGAGCCGTGGTCGCTGCCCTGGTGGCCGGGGCGCTTGGACTGCTCGCCGCAGTGGTGGCACACGCACTGGCACTGCGCAGCCCCGGCCCCGGCCGCGGCTCGGGTGCCCAGCGACACCTGGCTGCCGACGGGGACGACCACGCCGGCCGCCAGGATCGTGGGCGCCGGGGAGGGCGACGCCGGGGTCGTGGGTGAGGACGGGGACTGCTGCTGGCGCGGCTCCGGGGACTGCGGCGACCCTACCGGCGAGCGCCAGGGGCTGCCCGCGGAGGCCCTCGAGGACACGCGCACCTTCTGGAGACTGGGGGAGTTGGACGCGCTGGCGGGCAGCGACATCTGCTTTAGCTGCTGCCGCTGCAGCTTGTGCAGCTGGTGCTGCAGCTGGTGCAGGAGCTGGTGCTGGTGGTGCAGCGCGTTCGACGACCCGTAGAGCGACAGGTCGGACGCGCACAGGGCGCCGTGGCCGTGGCGCCGGACTGCGGTCCCCTGCGAGAAAATAGTGCAGTCAGCCTCGTTGCTGGCGCTGGCGCTGGTCCCGGCACCTGTACCCGTGCGTCTGCCTGCGGCGGTCACGTGCGAGGCGGGCGAGGACCACACCAGCCTGCACTCCCCTCCACCGCTCGGCGCCGGGATGACTAATAACGACGCCGGGGAAGGGGGTGGCGAGGTTAAATGGAGAGAATAACGCGCTATTCCAGAATGTACGAAAATCCACATTAAAATGAGACTAAACTCTGTGAGAGTTAAGCCACGACCGCGAGGCGGGCACCTGACCTGCACAGGCTTGCCCGCATGCCCACAGGCCTCTCCCCGGCACATTTGGAAGTGAATACAGGACCGCGTGCAGCCGTGCGTGCGGGTCGCCTACCCAAGGGGGCCACAGGCAGCCGCGTGCCAGCCCCAGTTCCCGGTAGGCAATGCCCGCCTCTCGCCTGCGCGCGCCAACCACACGGTACACGGCTCTACCTTGCTCTACGTCAACACACTGGATCGACAGAAATCCCCCCGACCACTTTTCGGCCGAGTTGAAGAGAGCTTCCTCGGAAGAATCGACGCGAGCGTCGGCGCTTGACGACGAGATATGTACACGTTCCCAAAAAGAGCGCGGGGGCCGGCAAACATGACGAGTCACGGCCGACAATAGGCGACACCCAAGAGCGCTTTTACGACCCGGAGACGTAACTGAAGTTCTCTCTGCGCGTCTGTATGCGCGACTGCAATCGAGAAGATGGCGCTTACAGTCGAACGGCTGACGAATAAGGTATATCGTCCAGAAAGTACGTCCGCTTTTCTGAGATTCGTTCGGCGAATCGCAGGAGCTGGGGGCCTGCGAACCTCAGGGTAGGCCAGCCAGCAGTACACGTATGCACTGCATTCGATATGTTGCCTACCGATCAGGCGCTATGAGAGCCACCATTGTCTGAGCTGGGCAGTTTCGTAACGGTAAATGGATGAGATATTCTCTGGGTGCTCCCTAAGACGGAACGTACAAAACACTACGGAAAACATAACCGGTGGGTAAAATGTGATGGCCCTCAGAAGGCTGGAAATCATCTGACGGCAGCCGGGATGGCATTCTTGGTCCGAGCCATGCACTCACCAGGTCATGCGGCGAGCTGACGGAGCGCAGCATGTCGGGGTGATGCTGGCGCCGGCTCAGCAGGTCGTAGGGCGCCGCGGCGGGCGCGTAGTGCGGCGGCAGCTGGAGCGGCGCGGCGGCGGCGCGGCCAGCCCCGATGAGCCCCGCCCCCACCAGCGAGGCAGTGGGCCCCCGCCAGCCCGCGCCGCGCCTCCCC